CCAGAGGTAACAAGCTGCCTGCACGGTAAACTAACATGTACTCCTTAGTCCTTCTCAGGTACTTGAGTATATGCTTCACCGCAGACCAATGTTCCCGTCCCAAATTACTTTGATATCTAGCTACCATGCCAACGGCGTAGCTAATATCTGGCCTAGTGCACAACATTACATACATGAGACTTCCTACTGTCGAAGCATAAGGAACTGTCTTCATCTCCTCTATCTCCTTAAACGTCTTAGGAGACATCTCCTTAGATAGAGGTATTCCATGTCTGAAAGGTAACATACCTTTCTTGGAATCCTGCATGCTGAATCTGGCCAAGACAGTATCTATGTATGAAGACTGGGATAAGCACAACATTCTCTTCTTACGGTCTCTAATGAGCCTAATACCAAGAATGTGTCCTGATTCACCTAAGTCCTTCATATCAAACTGCTTAGACAACCACACCTTTATGTCTGACAACTCCTTCTTACTGTTTCCAATAAGCAGTATGTCGTCTATGTAAAGCACAAGAAACACCACCACGGTCCCACTGATTTTTTTGTAAACGCATGCTCATCCGGACATTGAGTGAACCCGTACGACTGGATCACCTCATCAAAACGGATGTTCCAAGATCTCGAAGCTTGCTTCAGTCCATAAATAAACCAACTAAGCTTATACACTAGATGCTCACGACCTTCAGCAAAGAATCCCTCTGGTTGCTGCATATAGATGTCTTCCTGCAGGTTCCCATTAAGGAAAGTTGTCATACATCCATCTGTCAGACCTCATAGTCCATATGAGCGGCTACAGCCAACAGAATCCGAATGGACTTAAGCATAGCTACTGGCAAAAATGTCTCATCATAATCAATACTCTCGATCTGGGTATAACCTTTCGCAACAAGCCTAGCTTTAAAGGGTTGTACCTTCCCATCCGATCCTCTCTTTCTCTTATAGATCCACTTACATCCAATGGGTCGTACCCCATCGGGTGGTTCTACAAGATCCCATACCTGATTGAAGTCCATTGACCCCATTTCAGCTTTCATTGCAACATTCCATGAATCTGCATCTTTATCTTGGAGTGCCTCATCGTAAGTTCTTTGGTTCGATTCTAGGCCTCCTGGAACTGAGTCCGATGACTCTCCAAGACCTATCCATCGGTCGGGTAAATGAGAAACCCTCCCACTGCGATGAGGCACTGTCTGCACTGGTACACTCTTAGTGTGTCATGTTGCAGTATTATGTGATGAATCTACTTGCGCACTCGGTGGGGAACCATCGATTTCACCCCTTAACTCCTCTAAGACTAGTCTACTCGCGGGCTTATGATTCATAATATAGTCTTCTTCCAAGAATCTAGCGTTCGTCGAAACGATCACCTTCTGATCCTCAGGACTATAAAATAATCCACCTTTCGTTCCCTTGGGATAGTCTACGAAAACTCGTGCTTCCGAATGTTTCTCCAACTTGTCGGGTTCCTGCACTAACACGTGTGCAGGACTACCCCAAACTCGAAACTGTGAGAAACTGGGCTTGCGCCCTTTCCACATCTCATAAGGGGTAGTGTCAACTGACTTCGATGGAACCATGTTCAGAATATACGATGTCGTTTCCAATGCCAAACCCCAGAACGAATCTGGTAACCTCGAATAACTCATCATAGAGCTAACCATCTCCATAAGAGTCCTATTTCTTCGCTCTGCAACCCCGTTCTACTGGGGCGTGCCGGGTGCAGTCAGTTGGGATTCAATCCCAGCTTTCGATAAGTATGTCCTGAACTCTCCAAAGAGGTATTCGTCACCTCGATCAGAACGAAGTGACTTGATACATTTACCATGAAGCTTCTCCACAACTGCCCGATACTCCTTGAATTTCTCAAAGCATTCGGACTTGCGGTGCAACAGATAAACGTACCCAAATCTCGAGTAATCATCTATGAAAGACACATAATACTCGAAACCTTCTCTAGCTTGGATCGACATAGGACCATACAAATCAGAATGAATCAATCCTAGCACTTCTTGGCTCCTATACCTTTTTGCCGTAAACGGCCTCTTGGCCATCTTACCTTCCAGGCAGGATTCGCAAGTTGGATAGTGCTCTTCCAATGGACCGAGATGTCCACTGGGCACTAACTTTTGAATCCTCCTAAGGTTGATGTGCCCAAGTCTAAGGTGCCACAGATATGCTTGATTCATCTGCGAAGACTCCTTCCTCTTTTTAGATGTAGTCATGACATTATTCAATTCATTATGTTGCACTGTGGGAGAGTTTGGTTTGAGAACATACAAATTGCCAACTAATGAACCACAACATATAAAACGATTTCCAAAACGAATAATAACCATGTCATCAAACGAAACTGAATCCATAACGAGTTTAGAAACTGAAACAAGGTTCTTTCTAAAGCTAGGAACATAAAGACAATTTCTCAAAACCAAACTACTACTATAAAACGATAAACTAACGTCTCCCACTGCAACAGCCGCCACTTTCGTAGCATTGCCCATGTAGACGGTGATCTCTCCCTCCCTAAGTCACTTGGTTTCCTGGAACCCCTGCAAAGAATTGCAGACATGATCAGTGGCTCGAGTATTTACACACCAGGTTCTGGTAGATACAACCGCTAAACATGTTTCTACGACATTAACGAGAGAGTTACCTTTCTTGAGGAGAGGCCAGTCAACCTTCCAGTGTTCTAACTTGTTGCACTTGTGGCATCTTTCTTTTGGTTTCTTTGCCATACTTTGAGGGGCCGGTCATTGGTAAACCGGAGCATCATGTGCCTTCGCCTTTCCTGCAGACTTCTTTCTCTTCTTGCTCTTGTGAGGCCTGGAAGGTTCAGCCTGCTCGGCGACTAGCACCTGAGGTGCCTGAGTGAATAAGGCATCCGCTGACTGTAGCTCTGCAAGCAGTTCTGGAAGAGCCATATGCATCTTGTGCATGTTGTAGTTCAACCAGAACTGATCAAAACTCTTCGGCAGAGATTTGAGCATAATATCAACCTGGGTTTCCCCGTCAATATAACCTCCCATAACCTCAAGCTCATTGAGCTGCGCCATAACCCTGAGGGCGTGCTCCCTTACGGGTGTGCCCTCGGTCATGCGTGTACTCATCAGAGCACTCAAAGCCTCTTGCCTAGCAGCCCTAGACTGATGTCCGAACAGATCCTGGAGATTTAGAAGTATATCTGCTGCAGTGTCTTTAGACTGATGCTGATGTTGAAGAACATTCGACATAGAAGCCAGAATGTAACACTTCGCCATCTCATCAGCCTTCTTCCACCGAGCATACTCGTCTTTCTCCTGCTCAGGAGCATCAGCCGCCGGCACCGCCGGGCAAGCATCAGTGATAGGAAACGCATAACCCTCAGCAGTCAACACTATGTCTAAGTTGGCAACAATTTTTGTCACTATATGTTTGAATATCATCACAATACCATTTTGTGACAGTATTAAAAGTCGTTGCTAGGTCGTGGCTATATATACCGTGACTAAAAGTTTTAATGACGACACTTATAATCGTCACTAGAACCAAACTTTTAGTCACATTAACTATTGTCATTAAAAACCAACCTTTTGTTGCATATATTGTTCGTCACTAAAACTTTATATTGTAGTGACAAGTAGGTTTTGCCACATCTCTTAATCCATATAGTGACAAATATTATTGTCACAATATTGTATCAGTAATCACTTACGGATCCATATAGTGGCAAATATTATTGTCACAATATTGTATCAGTAATCACTTACGGTTCTATATTATCATTATTGTTACACGTTACTGTTGTCACTAGATTTGAATGTTGCATGTAGTCACATAATATTCATTCCTATAGCCACAAGTAATTATTGTTGCTTGAAAGCAATACCTTTCGTGACGTGGAATTTAATGTAATAGCCACATACAATATTGTCACAAGAATCATTTACGTTAGTCACAAAATGTACTTACACAAAGACATTACTAATACTCATAAATCTAAAAATTTATATTTTTCTATTATAATCATTTGATCAATGTCTCTAACTTCCTGAGATGAGAGCCATACTTTCTGAGCAGCAGTGGCTCTAGATACTCCACAAAAATCACCCCTGAACTCGCCGCTTTCTGCATTCAACAGATGACATCCTTAAAATGAGAATCTCATTGCAGAACATAAATTAACGGAGCAGAAAATATGAAATACCTAATACTTTGGCAAATCTGAGAGCCAACCCAATGAAAGTGTATGGAAAGGACATGATAGCTGCAAATATGGAGAGCCACTGCAAATTGTGTAGGTCGGGTATCTGAGAGAATACAACTTGAACTTCCTCAAACAAGAACATGAAAAAACTGCCAGAAACATATTTAATACTGTCAAGCCTAAACTTCAAAACGACTAAAATTAAAAAATGTAGCGACTAATCCATTTAACATGTATTTGGTATGCTAAGGACTTTTAACGTAGATCGCGATGTGGACCTACAAACAGAACAAGCTTAGGAAAATATTTTGTAATAAATTACACAGAGCAACCAAAAGACTAAGTCACGCAAGAAAAACTAAAGAAAATGAATTATAGGGCGAACACATTGAATATTGGTTTTACACCATTGCAATAAAAAATAAAATATCATAAAATTCCAAGCACCAATATTCAAGTACTGCTTAAGCAATGAAATGACAACAATAGATTAACCAAAAATGTTGTTATACAACCTCTTATCTACTCAAGAAAATTTAACAAATACAATATAACATGCCGTGCTTAGCTAACCTGGTAGCATAAACCAACTCCTTGTCCAACAACCACTAAGAATCTGTTGTTGCAAGCACTTATATGACTGTTATGTCTGGTCATGAATAGCAAGAGTTAGTATCCGCTTTCGAAACATACATGATGAGACTGTTAAAAAGTTAAAAATGAAAGGAAAAGACAGAAAATAATCAATTTGCCTAAAAAACAGTTGGTGCCAGTGACACAATTGCTTATCTAGAATTCATAAAAATGCAAAGAAAATCTAAAAGCAGGCCAGATAAATCAGATCAGAGCCAAACCAGTACACGATAGCAGAAGCACAAGGTCTGCAAATGTTAGAACAATCTATAGGCGTGCCTTCGGCACAAGCTCTCGAGTCTCTTTTTAGCTAATCATATTCTCAATTTTTGCATGATTACATCCGTGATTACTTTGCACCACCATAAAGAAAAGAGTTCCCCATTGTCCTACTTATGAATATCAATCCCTACCATTTGAAAAATAACTACTTCAATGAAATATTCACTATTGCTTTTCATGCCTTCACAAAAACCGCAACTTACTACTTATCCGATGCATATCTATCATTTAATCTCATCCAATCACCTTAAACATTCTCAAACCATCGCAGGCGGACAAAGGTAGTTCAAATTGTGTTTACAAATGAAGACTCGTTGCCTTGAAAGATGACAAATTTTAATGATGTAGATATTAGATAATAACCATCAGCCAAAATGAAATATCAATAAAAAGATGAGTATGAACAATGTAAGCCATGACATTTGCACTTGGTGTTCAAATGTTATGAAAAAATAAACCTAAAAAATTAACAGAAAGAGGATTGAAGCACACATTATGAAAATATAATATACTAACAGCCTTGAAAATAACCAAAGATAAATGTTACACCCTAAATTTTTATTGTCCACCAAAAGTTTGAGCAAACGGTTCGCAAAAACTGAAAGAATATGCAACTTTATAGCTCGAGTAACTCTTTTGAAGCTGTTGAAAACAAACCTATCTTCATAGATATTCACTTACATATTAAGGAAGCACATTGTTAAAATTATATGTATGGATAAAAGGCAGACTTTCTTTGCTTTGTGTATGTCTGTTTAAATTCCTTGTGCCATTATAATTATAACAAAAAAAATACCCAACAGTAAAAAAGATAAGCTAAGCATGTAACACAAAATGAAATATATAATCACATGATACATAGTTGCTGAAATACATCAAATCAACAACATTCTAGATTAGTACATACGACTAGAATTCACCCAAAAGAAATATATCTGGACCAAAGGTTGCAACCATAATATTATAGACATTTTATTTTAATGATTAATAAGATAATTCACACAAGTAGTCAATAATGATGTGCTGACTGCAATTAAAAAAATAAATCTAAAACAGAGCTATGGAAAACTTCCTGGAACCCCATTGAAATCCAACTAAAGAGAGGGCATGGGTTGAGTAAATTGAACCAGCACTCTTCATTCCTTGCAAACTTAGGAAATCTCTGCAAGGGTGGATGCCTGCGCAAAAAAAGAAAAAATAAATAAATAAATTGAAGCCTGAATTTGATATTCATCCTGTAAGCATTACTCATGACAAAGAATTGTGAGTCTCCACAAAGGCCCTATCTGTTGAATCAGACTTAGACGGTATGCTCCTCGGGTCAGCCCTCACGGCCTCTACCTCGTGAAATTGCACATTGGGTCAGTGCGGGAATGGGAATGTGAGTTGGAATTTTCGCATATAATACAATAACCATAGTAGCATTCTTGAACAAAAATTTTAGCCACCCATATATTCTTCTTTCCTGTCAAATAAGAAAACTAAATGTTCCCATAGAATGTGTATTCCAAGTGTGTCAATGGCTTAACATAATCAATAACTTGTTCACGATCACCCGAAAAGCAAAACGTGCTACTGTATTTCTAACCATACCCATTTCACCAGTACTAATATGTGATAAAACCAGGAAAAACACACAAATGTTACCTAAATAAGATCTGACAGCTTCGGCATAGGACCTATTTATAATGTGGCCTGCTTCAGGGTCGGGATATCAGTAATAATTACATATAAGATTCGAGCTTCAGGGTCGGGATATCAGTAATAATTACATATAAGATTCGAAGAAATAATAGTGATTACTTCAAACTGCACTATACAAAGTGGGCCCGCGATCCTGCGATCCAGCCGAGCTAAGCCACACTCCATGCCAGTGAAAGCATACCCGACCCTATCACCCCTGTGATTATATGGGCAATTGCTATCCACACAATCCCTTCACATTTACAGGCATACAAGATACAACGTCAAAAGCCTCAATCTGTTTGGATGAAATCGAAACAATAACTTCCCATATATGAAGGAAACTATCCATTGGTCGCAAGAGTTAAAACTTAAAATGAGCTTCAATCGATCAGAAAGGCACATAGAAACACAATTGATTCAAAACCTGGTCTGTTGAGGGAAGCATGAGAATCGGATGATGAAAATGACGCACATCATCGAGCAGAGGATATTGGGGAGACCAACACTAGAGACGCAGTTCGAGAAAAAGGAAGATGGTCTCGTGCCGGAAAGTTTCCAATTTGATTAACAGAGTGGGTGAAGTTGAATATGTTATGGTGAAAATCTGATATCTTGCCCTAATATTTTCCAGATGTTTTGCCGTTTTGGTCTCCAACAATTGGCGCTCGTTTCAATTATTTTGTTTGGCAAAAAGAGGGAACGACGATTTAATGACAATTGAAAGTCGACACTAATATCATTAACCTACTATTAATGAAGACTTTATAAGTTGTCACTATTAATAATTATATTAGTGACAACACTTAGTTCTCATGAGATGACAAAAAACCATTAGTGACAAAAAATAGTGACAAACAATAAATTCGTCACTAATGACAAACAGTACAATCATTTTGTGACATTAGAAAATATTGTCACTATATATATAGTTATAATTAAGACAAATCACGCTGTCACTAAAAATGTCGTCACTAATTATTGTTTTTCTTGTAGCTGATTTTCTTTTAGAATGACTAACAACGGATTGAACGACATGATGAATATTCTGAGAATCATGCACATAAATTTTACAGATTAAACACTTTTGAATTTAACTGTTAATATAGATATCCTCAAAACAATATTAATTTAAATCCACCGACATCTATTACACCTTGTGATAATGCATGCTGCGGGGGTCGCCCTACAAACTCGCATTTTGTAAGAGAAGAGCTTTTCTAAGGCCCATTAATTTCCATAAGTCAAAATCAAATTCATGATAAACGAAATTAATAGTCGGTCTCCATTTGGCCATGCAATAGAATTCAGGGACCCCGAGGGGGGTTAATAAATTTAATCGCATTCTAAGTGAATCCCATTTCTCGGTCCTAAGGTCGTCAAATTTGATTATACGTCATCCGAGGGAAGCCCGTACGCTCTCATAAGATTTCCTCTAACCGTCTACTTTTAGAAATTTGTCCTGGTAATTTCCTACAATTAATTTTTGCAATGTCACCCGAGGGGGAGCCCATAACCGCTATTAATTGATTTACCGACAAATTAGAAATTGAGGCCTTAGGAATTTTATAATTAACTTTAATTTAAAATCCCTTCTCAAACTTAGTATTATTTTAATGAGGATTTTAAACTATTTATACAATTCTAAATTAATCTATGTTAATACAATAATTAATAAACATGCATAATAACTCATGCAATTCTAAATTAATCTATGTCAATGTAATAATTAATTAACATGTTCAATAATTTATGCAATTCTAAATTAATCCATGCCAATGCAATAATTAATTAACATGCATAATTTATTGACACAATTCTTAATTAATCATATGCATTACATAATTAATTAACATGCATAATTAATCTTGCAATACTAAATTAATCTCATGCAAGAACATAATTAATTAACATGCATAAATAATAATTTAATGGCATAATAAATTTAATTAAATAAATAAATAAATCCATTATTATGGCCATGAAATATTGAGTCTCCTTAAACAAGGAAACTGTGACAGTTCTTTCCCTGTTCAACTGGAACTCTTTTAAGCAGTAGAATCCTGGTTGATCTTGTACTGCTTGGACATCAAGGCAAAACCTTTCAACCTTCCTGCAAGCCGCCGCCGACTGCCGCCTCTGGCCACCGCCCGGCCGCCGGCCGCCGGTGGTCGGAAAACCAATTTTTTTTTATTCTTCGAGGCTCGTTGATCTCTTGTGATCTCCCGGTCATCAACACACGATCACAACACGAAAAATATAATTTACAAAATTACATAATTCGATCCTAGATCCAACGAATGGATGTACATGTTTTCTAAACAAATAATTAAATCTATCTGGTCAACCCCTGGGTGAATAATTACTACAAACATTCATTCATAAATTCCTCGACATGTCCGAGGCTTTAAAAACAATTTTAAAACCATACATCACATCCAACAACATTCATCAAACACATAGTCGGCCATAATAGTGGATTAATTATTTATCCTGCAAAATCGAGTTATGCAAATATAATCCAATATATGGTTGCGTTTGAACACATCTTGTCAAATAAAGCCGTAAAAATTCGAACTTTGTACAAAACGAACTAACCAAGTGCTCTGATACCACTTGTTGGGATCTGTGAGGATCTCGTTATGTACAAGTCACGAATTCAATAGCAAACGTAAACCTATGCGCAGCGGATCTAAAGGTTTGACGTAGAGAACTTACGGCTTAAAATTTATGTAGATCTGGTTGACCACGAACGGTTGACCGCAATTGATTAACCGCAAATTACATCTTGGGTTGCACGAACAAGATCAGATCAAAATCAGATCAAACGGATGCAAACTGATCAAAACAAAAATTTCCAGCCTGGGAGCTTCTGGCGGCGATGGAAAGCTCTCGTCGAGACGGTCGTCTGAGTATGCTATACGTCTTAATCGGACTTCCGGTTAGTTCTGTAAGTCAAAATATATTTCGTCTCGGTTTACCTACAGATCTTCTACTATATTACTCAATACACCCTTCTTCAACTTGTACCAGTGGAGCAACAAGAAGAAGATAAAGCTCGAATGAGATCTAGAGAGAGAGAAGGACGTGGGGCATGTCTCACGTTAGAATAGGATTCTCTTCCCTTCTCATGAGCTTAATGATGTATATATAGAGCTACAGTAAGGACCCTTAGGAGATTAGGAAAATGACTCTTTAATTAATTAGACTAACTGTGGGCCAAGCCAACTCTTCTAATTAATTAAATAATATTAATGAGCCACCAACATTATATTATTGCACTTTCTTTTCCTAGCCCAAATTACATTTGAGACTCCAATAATAATTACTCGATTTACCTCGCCACGTTTAAGATATAATGTCCATTAATTAATTCGATTACTGACAATCAAGAATTAATTAATTTATTATTATTTCACCGAAGCTAGCACTCGTTCATCACATTCTTATTATGCCGGAACTTAATCCACCTGCAGGGTTTAGCATAACAATCTTTCATGAACTCACTCCGGGGACATCGTCAAACTAACGCACATGGTGACCGTAAATATCCTAACAGCACATCTTATATATAATAATATTACCCAAAACAGTAGGAATATTAATCCAGCGAACTGAACCTCACCCATGTGAATCAAAGTAATATATATTATATATATCTGTCTGTTTAATATCTTACGGGTTAAGAGAACGCAGTAATTAACCGAGGCCTAGTTCATTTACGACGATCAGTATAAAATGAACTTCTCCTCTCTGGGATCCTGTTCAATACATAAATGTACTAGTGCAACTAATCAGTCAAGACAAACTGTACAGTTGACACTACAACCATTCGGATGGGGTGTTCATGTCCATCTAGGTTGTGAACAACTATTCTTATTCGCAAGTGACTGATAGAGTGATCTTCGGTTCGCCCAATGACGACCCACTCTATCTAAGTGCAGAACAACAGAACGTAGAACTTGTTTAATCTAACACGATTCTCATTGATAAAGGGCAAATGTGTAATGACATGCAAAGCCAAGCTTTCAGTATATAACACTAACACTTCCACATCAAGAGACCAGAATAAAGCTAGCCCTCCACTAGTACCCACTGGATCAACTATAGCACATCTTTCATCGGAACCCAGTTTCTTCCTCACCGATTGCACAAAAGTTTTTTGTTTTTTAGTTTCTGACAAAAATAATAACTCTGGGTGGTGAGCCTTAAAGGTCTCTTTGATTTGGGAAACTGTAGAAGGCCTACCCAGTCCTCTACAGTTCCACACCGCAGCTAGCATTGGCCACTTGGGTGCCAATCCAGGCTGGCCTCCCCCACTTTTAAAAAAGATTTCAGTTTATTGTTCTCAACAACAACAATGGATTTACCTTTATTAATGCAGGGTTGATCTTCATTTTCTAGCCGTAGTCTTTTGCCTAGAACAATAGTGTCCCTTATCACAAGGCTGTTATTTTGCCTTTGGAGTCTGCCATCTTTTTCACCAAATCTTTTCCATGTCCTTGATAGTGGTTTTTGAATCATCATGGTATCTTCCTGTCCAATACTGGGTGGGAAGGATGACATCTAATTCCATGGTTTTGTCTTGTTCATGTGTATGACAATCTTTCTCAACAATTTAGAGAGACATATGTTTGGGGCTCTGAGAGTGCTTCATCACAGTGGTATCAGGTTGTTTGAAGTATTCCTCTTCAGAAGAGTTAGTTAAATGTGCTTTGGGTTGCTGTTGATTAGCTGAGTCACTGTGAATCATCACAATCTGGTTAGTATCCTCCACTTGACCGGTGAATGCTTTTAAAGGAGAATGCTGGTCTGGGTGTGAAGTCTTGTCTGAAGGAGGTCCTCTAGTGTCTGATGCATTCTGACTTGCCCAGTGTTGCCCATCAGGGGCCTTCAACCAGTCTTCATATTGACCTTCTTTCAAAGTTTTGGATTTGATATCGTTCATACGAGAAGAGCAGCCTCTTTCTAAGTGCCCAACCAGTCCACAATAATGGCAGAAATTTACTAACTTCTCGTATTTGAAGCTTACACAAACGATCTGTTCTCCCAGTCTAATTTTGGAGCAACGAGGGAGAGGCTCACTGAGATCAATAGAAACAAAAGCCGAAGAACCTTACCCCCATGGCTGCCAGCTCCCACAACTACTACATTAATAACCTCCTTAAAGACCTGGCCAAGCTTCAATCCTACCTTCGTGCTAAGCCAATTGAGTGGGACGTTGAATACTTGGACCCATAATTTAAGTTCTTGGAAATTAGGATGATTGCTGGATAGGCCGGGTTGCCATACTGACCAGATAAGGAATTGGTTGTCTATACTCCAATTTGGGCCTTTAGCTACTCTTGCCAAATCTTCTTTGCTTTGGAATATAAATTGGAAATAATTATGCACAAGTTCCTTTACCTCCACAGATTGTCTAAGCTTCCATATGAGGCTCATTGTGCGCTTTACGCCAATCCAACTTGCTTTTCTGTCTC